GGGGGGGGGGGGTTGGTTTAGGGATGTGATACTGTAGATATTCTGGAGTGTGTGTACAGTGTGCATGCCCGAGCCCATGCGTGTAGGATTTTCACGGTTATTCTAAGAGGGGTTTTCAAACCAAGGTTTTCTCACACTGGGCACATGTAGGTGAGGCTATAATTAAAACCCGCTATAATTTCCTTCACAGCTGATTTTTAGGGGGACTCTTCCTAACCCACGTTTGCATCTTTGAAGGTCACACAGTTCAATTCTAGTTATGCATTCATTGGCTCTCTTACAGATTTGCACCCGTTGTTGCAAAAAATGGCAGTGAGTATTTCTTTTTTTTTTTAACCCAAACGTCCTCTATTGGAGCTGCCAGTTTTTGGATGTGATACTTGACAGTCTCTCTTTGCCTTTTAGGAAGAAATAATAGATGGAAACTATCTGAATGGTAACGTCCCCACCGCCCCCGCTTGCTGCTTATGAGAATTGCGCACCCACCTGCCTGTGATCTCTCTGGAGGGCTCCTTTCTAAGTTGTCTTTTCATTTTGTTCCCATTGTAGCGTTGCTGGACCTCATACAGTTTCAAAGGTAACCTGCCCTAGAGGGGAGGGGCGGGGGTGGAATAGATTTTTAATAAAAGTTCTTGGTGAAAGTCTCTTAATTGTAAAAAGTAACACATACTTATTACAAAAAATGTCAACCAAAGCACAAGTGTGTTTTTTAAAAAGTAGACACATTTGTTCTGCAAACTTTTATACCTCTCTGGCCTAGCGTGGGAGCTAACCTTTATTGAGAGCTTGCTATGTGGCAGGTACTGTTCTAAGTGCTTTATGCATGGAAACACACCTGGTCCCCACAGGCACCCCAGGGTAGGCCCTACTATTCTCCTATTAGACAGAATGAGGACACAGGCCCCCCCGGGGAGGGTGCATCCAGGCCATGCAGCAGGGACGTGGTGGAGCTGCAGTGTGTGTCCAGCAGCCTGGCTCCCTGCCCATTGCCTTCACCCTCGTGTCCTTACGGACTGCAGATGGCCGGTGATAGGGACTGGACCCGAGGCAGGGCACTGGAGAGTCCTGTGGAGGGACCAATGCTAGCAGATAATTCTGATACGGCGAGGACTCCGAGGAAGAAGAAACGGAGGCCGTGGGGCCTCTTGATAGGGCACCCAGCTTGCTAAACAGATCCCACTAACACTCCTCTCCCTAAGAGAGCTCCAGCAGATAGTTTTGGGTATATTCTCTCAGGCTAAAACATTTATTTATGTGCTTCCTCACTACTGTAACAAGAATGGGATTATGAAAGGCCGCCTACTGGCTTACAGCTGGAGGCTTTGCCTGTCGTCAGCCACTTGGCCACATCTGGAAGCAAACTCCTGGCTCATCCCGTCTTATGGACGCGTGCCATTCCGCCGAGGGGATGTGCCACGCTTGTTGAGCTTCCGCCTGTTGTTGGATGTTTGGGTTGCTTCCGATTTGGGGCTGCTGTGAATGGAACTGTGCATTTTCTGTGTGTTGGGCGTGTTTTAAGCACTTTACCTGTGTAAGCAAATTGAATCCTCACAATTGTTAGCTGTAAAACATAGAAAAGGAAACTGAGGCACAGGACAGACGATTCAATAAATCGCCTAAGGCCTGACACAATTGAGTGACTGAGCCAGCATTCAAATCCAGGTTTCGAGCCCACGCTCCTCACAGCGCCGCTCCAGCCGCCAGGGCACACACAGCACCTGTTTTCAAACCTCACTTAGTGAGGACAGCTTTCTAGGTTCGTGTGTTTGAACGGCAGTTGATTTAAGTGGATTGCTGTGGGAATTAGAATGTTGCACATAGCTCAGACACTGATGATTGTCCTGGGAAAATGGGACCCAGGCAGATTCCTAGAATCGGAAACTCCCCTTGACCCCACCCACTGTGCCAGCTCAGCTAGCCTCCTTCCTCCACACACGAAGTTTCTAGCATCCCCAGCCTACCCCACCATCCTCTGGACGCCATCCCCTGGTCGCTCAGCTAGCAGCAGAACTACTGTCACAGGGGAACCGTCGTCATGACCTCTTCCCATCTGTCTCTGACTGAAGTGCCCACACGTGGACGGCAGACCTGTCCCACAGAGTCCTGGCCTACCTGAATGCGCGGAATGCCGCCTTCACCGCCCCCAGCCTGCAGGTGGGTACCGGGGCCCATCCTCCACGTTCCCCTCTGTGTGCCCAGGGACTGCAAGCTCAGGCCAGGGAGGCCGGAGAAGTGGGCTAGGCGTATAGCTCGTCTTCACTCCCCCAAAGAAGCATGTTCTGTCCAGTTTTTCTTAAAACATGATATGAGTTCTTTGCCTAGCTTTTACTTTTCCATCTTTGGTGGAGACATGGTGTATTAGGGTGTACGCTGAGCTTCCATAACAAGGAGACCCCAAATCACAGCGCTCTCACAGTTTGGTTTATTTCTGTCTTATGTAATAGCCCACAGCTAAGTGGGAGAGCCAGAGGGGATCTATTTTCAGAGACCTTCCAGGGGCACAGGCTCCTTCTGGCTGGTTCTGTCATTCTCTAGGGAGCTGTTGCCTGAAACAGCACGTCCATGCTCCACCCCATGGTGGGGGCTGGGGCTGGGAAAGAGGAGGTGAGGGTGAGTCTCTCCTCCTTTCAGGATGTGACCCGCGCGTCCCACACTTCCCTCTGCCTGCCTTTCACGGGCCCCCAGTCCATGGTCACATCTCACGGCAGTCCTTTCCCAGAGGCCATGCGCCAGCTCAGACGTGTGGGATTCTATTGCTAAAAGGGACAGCAGGAGAGTGGGTCTCTGGGTGTAATTGTCAGTATCTCAGTCATGCATCCAAGAAATATTTTCCTTCATTTTTAACTCTGCTATGAGAAAAAAGTAACACAACCACTGATGGCAGTGGACCTGTGTCTCAGGGGCAGTGGGGGCCGGTGGGTTGTGTCTTTGCCACTACACTGGGAAGAGCACAGAAAATGGGGGAAATATTCTTCCAGGATTCAAGAAATGTTACCTGATTCAGCAAAGAATTCGTGTCATGGGTGAATGAAGTTCTGACATACATCTCTGTTGTTTCCATGTCTACTTCCTTTTTGATGAAAATGAAAATATCAACCAACATCCACGTCTGACCTACCCTCAGAGAGCTGGTCCTTACCATTCAGCGGGGTCCCCGCTAGCTGCCGGCCTCACGGCGTCTGCTTTCTCCCTGCTGTTCATCAGCCTGTGGCAGGTTAAGAGGAGCAATGCCTGCCTTTCTCTCTAGCACTGTGGTTTCTCATGAAATTCATATATTAGCAGATCAACTATCTGTCTTCGTATATATATATGTAAATATACATATAGCAGATATTGAGCAAATGAATGAGTGAATAAATAATACTGTTATTCATTCATTCACTCAATAGCTACTTAACTGGCATCTACTTTCTGCCAGGCACAGTGCTAGACACTGGAGACTCAGAGGAGAGCAAAGCAGCTGTGTTACTACCCAAGTGGGCCTTTCATTCTAAGGGAAGAGAGAGTAAATATTCAACTCATTTAGGACCAAGAATAGTGGCCGGCAGTCGCTGACCACTCGCTGTGTGCTATGGGCTAGCGAACAAACTACATGCTTATTTAATCCTTGGAACAACCTTACCTGCTGTTGTCTCTATTTTCAGCTGAGGAAATTGAGGCCCAGAGGTAGTTTCGCCCACTTAGCAAATAAAAAATACAGAATTCCCAGTGAAGTTTGACTTTATTAGTGTAAGCATGTCCCATGCAATATTTGGGATATATTTTTGCTAAAAAATTATTCATTGCTTCTCTGCAATTACGATTTAACTGGGCATCCTGTATTTTATCTAGCAAAGTAGTTGAGTAACTAACTTGCCCAAGGCCACACAGCTAGTAGGTGGCAAGGTGAGGATTTGCACACGGGTTGTCTGGCTCTAGAGCCCACCTTTTACCTGTGACATCATGTTAAGCTGCCCTTTTAGAGCAGCTCTATTTAAGGGAGATTTAGAAAATAATTCCCCATGTAGCAGAGGAGATCTCTTTCAGGAGAGGCTGCCAGAGGGAGTTTGTTCATGCTCCCTGAATTTTTGTCTTGCACTCGTAGCTTGGGCATGGGAGAGTGCCCACCTGGGGTAAACTTTCTGGACTTGAACCCTCAATTCCCTCCGGGGATCAGGCAGGCATTGGAGAAGTCGGCTGGCTGGGTGGGCGGTGAGCTGATTATCACCAGGGGGGGACGTGTGTCCAGCATTGCCAGGTCTTTCTGTTTTCCAAGAGAAGTTGGAACTCTGAATTTTTGTGAAGAATACCCTCTTTTAAATGTTGGCAGCTAACGGAAGGTTTCTGAGCCAGCCTACCCTGTGCGGGCCGCCAGCTGGCGGCCTCTGCAGGGCGGGAGGTGGCCCGGCTGGGCTGCTGGCCGTGGTGCTGACCGCTCCGCCCGCCCTCCCTGACTCCCCACACCCCGAATCCAGGCAGCCGTGGAAAACCACCTGGAGCAGCTGCTCTACCAGCCCCAGAGGCTGCTGGAGGACCTGCGGGGAGCAGACGCCCAGCAGCTCCGCACGGCCATGAAGTTCCTCTGGGAAGACAAGGAGCACCGCTTGGTGAGACTCCGGGGCACCCCGGGGAGTCCAGGGCCCGCTGGCGTTTGCTCAGCTGAAGCCGATGGAGCCTGACTCAGGCTCCGACTTTCTTTACCTCTTCCTGTCTCCTTCTCCCCCACCCCCTGGGAGCTTTGGACCTAGATTTTCTCACTTTCTCTGAAGTTCAAAGGAAGAGCCTAATGAGCCACATTCTTATGGCTACTAAGAGATGAGGGCACCGAGGGCTCCAGTGGTTTGGCTGAGTAAACAGGCTCAGATGGTGGCTGTCACCTGCGGCCCCGGGTTCAGGCATAGAGGACGGTCTGTCCCTGGTCTCAAGGAGTTTACAGTCTGGAGGGGAGACAAAAAGCAGAAGCAGGTCGTTTCCACAAAACAAAGCTGGTGACGTGCGGGCAAAGCAAGGCCTCAGACCCAGACAATCTGTGGGACCCGGAAACGTGAGGTTCCGAGTTTTCTTTCCAGAGGAAGGTCCGTGTGGAGCAGTGTTTCCCAAAAGGAGCTGAACCCTTTAAACATTTTCATAATCATGGATTTACTTTAAAGTCTGTGCTTAAAATAGAACGGACACACCAAACTTGTGAGCTTGGTGGTAGAAATGTAATGTTTCCTTTTGAAATGAATTTAAGTTTAAAAAAAAGAGTTTGTTAAAAAAATAAGAAGTAGCTTAGCCGGTGTTGCTCAGGCTGAGCGATGACCCGTGCACCAAGAGGTCGCCGGTTCCGTTCCTGGTCAGGGCACATGCTGGGCTATGGTCTCCGTCGATGATTCTCCCTCATCGAAGTTTCTATCTCTCTCTCCCTCCGCCTTCCTCTCTCTCTCAAATCAATAAAAACATGTTAAGAAAATATGAAGTAAATAATAGAAAAGGAAGTGCCAGGTTATGGCAAAAATGGGGATGGTGGTTCGTGAAAATGATACCGATTACTGTGCATTGTGGGTTTTCTGTGGGTCGGGTATTGCTCTGAGGGAATGGCCAGGAAACTTCCTGCAGAGGGTCAGACGGTAAGTGCTCTAGGCTGTGCAGGCCACACAGTCTCTGTCACAGCTACTCCCCTCTGCCGCTGGAGCAGGAAAGCAGCCGCAGGTGGCAGGTGAGTGAGTGGGCGTGGACGTGCCCCAGTGGCACTGTATCCACAGACGCAGGCAGTGGCCAGGTTTGTGGCAGTGAAAAAGAGGGTGCAGTTTCCCCGATGTTTACAGATGCCCTAAATTCTGTCCGCAGAGCCCTGCTGACGGTTCCCCAAGTTGCACTCAGCAGCTGCACTGCTTCTGCCCCACAGTAAGTGGCCGCAGGTCGGTTAGAAGCCTGGGCCTGGGCTGAGATTCACTTCTGATTCCAGCTCCGTGTTCGTTGGGGCAGGTTGCTCACTCCCTCCTGTTTTCATCCCCTGTGGTATTGAGTTAATAATAGCACATAACGTTTGTGGGATGCTTACCAAGCACCTTGCCTTTATGGTCTCATTCAAGGTGGACTAGAGGATACACAGGTAATTAGCGGAGGGCCTGGGATTTGACTCTAAGAATGTCTGACCCTCGGATCCACGGGCTTACCCTAGAGGTCTGCTGTGGGGATCTATGAGAAGACAGGTTTACTCTGTGCTGGGCGCAGTGTCTGGTGGGAAGTCAGTGCTCACAAATGGTGGCTGTTATTCTGGGAGGGTGCGTTAGGTGACCGACAGAGGGCCCAATCAGGTTGTGAGTAAACCCTGTCAGCATTACTGTGCTCCATGGTCCGCAGGATTCACTCATTCACCCACCCACTCACTCATGCATTCAGCCATTCAACAGGTTATTTCTCTGGGTCGTCTAGGTACTGGGCATTCCACTGGGCACCTGGCTTGGGCCTCAAGGACTCCGGGCTCAATCCCACACTAGAATCAGGTGCCAGGGCTCCACTCCAGACGGTTAAATCAGATGCCACGGTGGTGCTGGGCTCCCCGCCCCGCTGATGCTGATGTGCTGTCAGAGTTGAGAACCACCACCTTGGAGGAAAGAGCCCCACGAGCATCTCTAATGCTCAGAGTTTGGTTCAAGATGCTCTTGGGAGCCTGCAGTGGAGGGAGAACTGATCTGACTGAAGTGGGAGGGTAGCAGAGAGGACATCGCCGGTTATGTGATGACTGAGCTCAGCCATAAAGGATGAGCTGGGTTTCGCTGGGGGAAGGACTTGCGGGGGAGGGGATTCCAGCTAGAACAAGGGTCGGAGGTGTGACAGCCATGGGGTATCTCAGAGCGACAAACTGCAGAGTGTGGGGGGAGCAGGTGGAAAGTCATAGAAGGTTTGACATAGCAGCATGGTGTTGAACAGTGGCCTTGATTTCCTCACTGCTGCTGAGTGTGGTCCCTTCGGGGTGTCCAAGCCCAGGGACCGCTCTCAGGACAGCCCTAGCTTCGTTACTCCCTTAGGAGCTGGGAGACGTCGTCATTGACTTGGCAGAGATTCGGAAACAAGCCTTGCAAAGCCCGGGCGTGAACCGCAGCCTGTTTCTCATCACGCTGGAGAGGTGTTTCCAGGTGCTGAGCTCCCTGGAGTGCGTGGAGGTCCTGGGCAAGGTGCTGAGGGGGTCCTCGGGCAGCTTCCTCCAGCCCAGCGTCGCAGAGAGGCTCCCCCGGGACCTGCGAGAGGACGCCTTCAGGAACCTGTGAGTGACCCTCCCGGCCTCTCCGCTCCGCTCCCCGCGCAGAGGCTGCTCTGAGAGCTCAAGGCGGCAGTGAGGGTGTCCCCAAAAATGTGTACACACTTTGAATGATTATAAAGTCAGCGTTTATGAACATACAGTTCATTTTCAAAATTTAAAAGAATCTATAGAAATGAATACTTTTTTTGGTCAATGCCTGTTTTCAAAGTGATGACCGTTCTGGTCCAGGGACTGCTGATAACACGAAGCAATGGAATTGCAAACATCGAGAATCATTTTGTTCGGGCTCTAGCTGGTTTGGCTCAATGGTTAGGCTTCGGCCCTCAGACTGAAGGGTTCTGGGTTCAGTTCCCGCCAAGGGCACATACCTTGATTGCAGGCTTGATTCCCAATCCCGTCAGGGCTCATGCAGGAGGCAACTGATAGATCTCTCTCTTTCTCCCTCCCCTCTTCCCCCCCCTTCCCCTTCCACTCTCTCTGAAAAGCAATGGGAAAAATATCCTCGGGTAAGGATTAAAAAAAAAAGGTCATTTTGTTCAGCATTTGTGTACCTTCAATTCGTCAACTGTTCCCAGTTTTGTACCATAAACTTTATCTTTTATGTGTCCCCATCAAAAAGTCTAGTGGATAAATTTTCTTTGTTCACAGCTTAGTCTGGCTTCACCCATTATTTCCAGTCAGTTAAACCTGAAAAGGAGTGAAAATTAGGTGAATTGTCAGCTGTTAAAGTGTGTACACACAGGACGTCCCCCTAAAAGTGTATATACACGCTTTGAATATATACAGTGGCACCTCGGTTTTCGAATGGGATCCGCTCTGGAAGACCATTCAGGTTCTGAAACGTTCGGAAACCGAGGGATCCACGGCCGACAGCTGGGCCTCAGGACCCTGCCCGCTGTGGGAGCCGCGGGACATGTGTGACTTCCGAGGCGGGTTCGGAAACCGAAGCATTTCCTCCCGGGTTTGCGGCGTTTGTAAACTGAATTGTCAGTGGAGATGCTCGAAAACTGAGGCACCGCTGTAAAGGCAGTGTCTGTACTTCAACTGCGTTTTCAAACTTGCAGTAACATTTTAGGATGAATTTCCCTTGTTCAAAGCTTAGTCTGGCTGAAAACACAGAAACACCAGCTGAGCTCTCAGCTGTGAAAGTGCGTTACTGTTTTTGGGACACCCCGTGCATGGCCGAGGGGAGAAGGCAGGTGGGGACGGGTGAATACGCGAGGCCTGGAGCAGACGCCGAGCACCTGGGAGTCCTAGGCCCGATTCTCGTTGGTCCAGACTGGGTCCTGTGCCAGCCTTGATCCGCTCACTGTTGTCAGTGGGTCCAACGGGCTGCATGGCTTCGGTGTGGGTGACAGTCCCACACAACCAACGTGGATGGACCAAGAATGGGGGACACGCTTCTCCAAGAATAACCGAGGGGCTGTGATGAAGAAAGGGGCATGGATGGCTGCTACAAAAACGTTACATGGACCCCGTATAAGAGCCGGGTCGGGGGAAGGCTCTGAACCCTGCAACAGAGTAATGCAGGTCTAACAGCCCCGACTCGTTTCTCAGCTCTTGAGTGGGGAGTCCAGAATGTGCCCCACTTCCACTGAAGACATCCTCCTGGGCGTCGTCTAAGCAACCCCTTCTTTTATGGATAAAGAATCTGAGGCCCAGAGAGGAGACGGGTTCCCAGGTGGCCCCATGGGCCTCGCCTTCATCTCAGCTCAACCCAGTTTTGTGTTCTCGCTACACTCCCCTCCCATCCTTCCCTTGTGAGGGTGGTGTCATTAACCCCATCCCCGTTTTTCAGATGGGGGAGTTGAGGCACGCAGAGATTAAATAACCCCCCCAGGTCAGACTCTTAGGGGATGCCAGAGCCGGCATTTTTGCCAATGGGCAAGCTTCCCCATGAAGGATGTTCACCATTTTCCCAGACCTCTGTCTGTGTCCTGCCCCTTTCACCCACTCAGGTCTGGAAAAACAAGACCACAGCAAACACAGAGAAGGAAATGAAAAGGAAAATACAGAAAGAAGACATGGACTTAAGGGAAGGTTTGCCTGTGCCCTTTGAAATGACTGGGAGGGTGGCAAGGATGAAGTTTAGGCTTAGGAAAGGCTGGTCATCTGTCATTTGGTGAACTGGTTTTCAGTGGTGGCAGGTGGGGTGAAGGAAGACGTTGGAGACAAGGAGACCTGGCTGTTCTGCAGGATGAACCCGGGTGGTGATTGGTGTCAAGTGCTGTGAAAGATCAACTCATCTTTGGACCCAATGGCACCACTGGACATGGCAACAAGGAGGTCACTGGTGACTAGGGTCATGAGGAGTGGTGTGGTACTGAGGAGACCAGATCTCAGTGGCTTAAAAGTGACCCAGACACTTCACACCCAGATGATGTCTGTAAGCAAAACATCGGACAATGACAAGCGTTGGCGAGGACGTGGGGAAATCAGGACCCTCACTCACTGTTGGTGGAACGTAAAATGGTGCAGCTGCTTCGGAAAACAGCCTGGCAGTTTCCCAAAAGGCTAAATGTACAGTTGCCACTTAACCCAGCAAGTTCACTCCTGGGTGTGTACCCAAGAGAAATTAAGACACATGTCCACACAGAAATGTGTTACACGAATGTTTACAGCAGACAAAGGTGGAAACCACTCTATGTCCATCGGCTGATGAGTGGATAAACAAAACATGTTCTGTCCAGACAGTGGAATATTATTTGGCAGTGAAAAAGAATGAAGTACTAACATGCCACAACATGCATGAACCTTGACAACATCATGCCAAATGAAAGAAGCCAGTGACAGACAATGGTCTGGTTCCATTAATCTGAAATGTCCAGAAGAGGCAAACCTATAGAGACAGGAAGTAGACGAGTGGTTTGTAGGAGTGGGTGTGGCTAGAGGTTAAGGGGTGATAGCTACAGGGTGCGGGGTTTCTTTGTGAGGTGCTTAAAATGTTCTAAAATTGACTGTGGTGATGGTTGTACAACTCTGTGGATAGGCTGAAAACCATCGCGTGTTCACTTTAGCTGGGAAAGTTGCATGGTATGTGAGTTATAATCTCAATCAAGCTGTTACCAAAAAAAAGTGACCTGGAGGTGAGGAAGTGGAGACCAGTCTTGGGAAGGTGTCTAGCTGAGGGGCAGAGGAGAAGTGGCAGGAGGGTTTCTAATACATGAGAGCTTGGGGGGCGTGAGCTGTGTGGACCCTCCTCAGGGCAGCCCTCACCTGTCCCTTCCTTAATTGACACTCATGTTTGTGTCCTTTAGGTCTGCGGTGTTCAAAGACCTCTACGACAAAACCTCGGCCCATTCCCAGCGAGCCCTGTACTCCTGGATGACAGGGGTCTTGCAGGCGTCTGCCAACGCCACAGGTGAGCCCGCTCTCAGATGGCATCGCAGTTCACGGGGAGCCCATCCTTATAAACAGATGCTGTGTCCCTGAAGACCGAGATTGACTTCAGCGTCACCCATGATTTTTACCTGCCATTCCCCCAACTTCCAGAAAGAGGTTGGTGTGGCTCATGGAGTAAAACATGTGCCCGTTTCATCAGCGCACTCTCCACCTGTGCAGGCATGGAATAAGGGTGTTTTCGTCTCTCACAGTCGCCAGGCCGCCTGGCTTCTTTGTCGGGTGTAAATGGTAGCATCCTAGACTTGATGAGAACCTTCAGAGTAAGGTTATAGGCTCAAAAATTATACCAAATCACCTGTGTTAAAGGAAAATCTAGGAAATAAAGCACAGAAGTTTAGCACTAAGCTTCTTGGCAACCAAAGCAGAAATAGGTCAGGATCCATTATTTGAGAGATGTTTATTAAAAACCCAGTGTGTCCCTCTAGTGGGGACATAGAGTCAAGTTTACAGAGGCAGAAAGGAGAATGGTGGTTGTGTGGGCTGAGAGGAAGGGGATGGGAGTTGGTGTTTAATAGGGACATAGTTTCTGTTTTGCAAAATGAAGTTTCTGGAGATGGAGGTGGTGATAGTTGCACAACAGCATGACTGTACTTAATGCCACTGAGCTGTACACTCAAGATGGTTAATATGGTAAATTTATGTTAGGCATATTTTACCACAATTGAAAAAAAGAGCAATGTAGAAAAAGAATGGCTGTGTAGATTTAGGTTACTAATGCAAACAGTTTTTTACATAGCTATACCTTGTTGAATGTTTAACATCGGTAATATAAACAGAACAAACTTATTTATTTATTTATTTATTTATTTATTTATTTATTTATTTATTTATTTAAATTTATCTTTATTGTTGAAAGTATTACAGGTGTCCCATCCACCCCTCATTAACCCCCGCCACCTCGCTTCCACCCCTCCCCAGGCCTTCACCCCATTATTGTCTGAGTCCATGGGTTATGCATATATGCATATAACTTCTTTGGTTAATCTCTTCCCACCCCCCACCGCCTATTCCTCTTCCCTCTGAGATACACAGTCTGTTGTATGCGTTAATGTCTCTGGGTCTATTTTGTTTGTCACTTTTGTTCATTAGNGCCTTCCCTCTTCCTTCTGAGATATGACCATCTGTTGTACACTTCAGTGTCTCTGGGTCTATTTTGTTCATCAGTTGATTTTGTCCATTAGCTTCTTTTAAAGAAGACGCTTCAACATTTCATGTAATACTTGTCTGGTGGTGATGAACTCCTTTAGCTTGTTCTTATCTGTGAAGCTCTGTATCTGACCTTCAGTTCTGAATGATAGCTTTGCTGGGTAGAGTCATCTTGGTTGTAGGTTCTTGCTTTTCATCACTTTGAATATTTTTTGCCTCTCCCTTCTGGCCTGCAAGGTTTCTGCTGAGAAATCAGCTGGAAGTCATATGGGTGCTGTCTTGTAGGTAACTAATTGCTTTTCTTTCGCTGCTTTTAAGATTCTTTGTCTTTGACCTTTGGCATTTTAATTATGATGTGTCTTGCTGTGGGCCTCTTTGGGTTCCTCTTATTTGGGACCCTCTGTGCTTCCTGGACTTGTAAGTCTATCTCCCTCATCAGGTAGGGGAAATTTTCTGTAATTATTTTTTCAAATAGGTTTTCGATTTCTTGTTCCCTCTCTTCTCCTCCTGGTACCTCCATAATGAGAACATTGGGCCGCTTGAAGTTGTCCCAGAGACTCCTGACACTATCTTCATATTTCTGGATTCTTTTTTCTTTTTCTCTTCTGATTGGATGTGTTTTGCTTCCTCATGTTCCAAATTTCTGATTTGACTCTTAGTGTCCTCTACTCTACTGTTGATTCCCTGTAAATTATTCTTCATTTAAGTTCGTGTAGCCTTCATTTCTGACTGGTATTTGATTATGCCATTGATGATCTCACTAGTTTCCTTAAATGTCTTACTAAGATCCTTGAGCACCCTTATAACCATTGTTTTGAACTCTGTATCTAGTAGCTTGCTTGACTCCATTTCATTTAGCTCTTTTTCTCGAGATTTCTTCTGTTCTTTCCTTTGTGACATGTTTCTTTGCCTCCACATTTTGGCTGCTTCCTGGTGTTTGTTTCTATGTATTAGGTAGAGCTGCTATGTCTCCTGGAATTTGTAGTGTGGCTTTGTGTAGTAGGTGTCCTGTGGGGTCCAGTGGCTCAGCCTCCCCAGTCACCTGAGCTGGGCCTTCTAGGGCCTGTGTGGGCTGTGGTCACCGTCCTGTTGTAGTTGAGCCTTGGTTGCTGTTGGTGTCACTGGGAGGAACTGACCCTCAGGCCAATTGGCTGTGAGGACCAGCTGCAACTACAGCTGAGGAGCTGCTGTGCTAAAGACAATCCTATGAAGCAGGATTTATTTCAGTGGAACTTTGGTTTTCACCAAGTCTGCCCCTTGAGTGTGTCACTCGTGGATGCAGTAAAATTGTAATCTAGCGTGGTCACCAGGTGCACTGGCTCTGGGACCTCCCAGGAGGTGCAAAGTCAGCCTCTGCTTGTGCCCTGCCCAGGACCACCCAGTATGAGCTACACAGCAATCCACAGATGGCTACTACTTGTGCTGGGCTCAGAGGTGCCCAGGAGAGGTCAAGCTATGAACCAATGCAGGCTGCCACTAGTGCCAGGCCTGGGGCCACTTATCAAGCCGTATGGGGCACACTACTGCTTGTTTGAGAGATTTTAGGAAAGTAAGCATGAGGCCACTTGCATAGAAAAGCCACTGGAAATGGCTTGGATGAGCTTGCAGGTAGGGAGGGGTGGGGTCTCTGGGAATCACCAGGGTGGGGCAAAAGGTGTGTCAGGTTGATGGAGACTCAGAAAAAGCGCCTGCCTGCTGGCTCTGCAGGGAAAGGGCTTGTCAAAGGAGCAATGGCCTCTGCCAGCTCTTCTGTCTGGGAGAAAGCTGCCCCTCCAGCCCTCTCCCTGATTCCAGGCAAGTTAGTTCCTCCCTGAGTGTCCCAGATTCCCTTCAAGCTGCTGCCCACTGGGACTTAGAGGGAGTGCGTCTGAGTGAGTCCATGGGCAGGCCCTTTAAGAGGAAAGCCTGGGACTCCCGCAGCCTCCGCGATCCTCAGCCACAGTCCCCACTGGTTTTTACAGCCCCAAGTTGTGGTGACTTCTCTTCCCGGCCCTGGAGCCCTGGGCTGGGGGCTTGATGTGGGGCTGGGACCCCTCATTCCTCCGGGAAACCCCCACCACTGGGATGTCCCTCCCAGGTTTAAACCGTGGCACCAGGTGTGGGCCCGCAGCCGTGTCTATGCAATTTAGCCCCGATCTGCCTGCATGTCCGCCCCTCCTACTGTTCTCAGTGCTTCTTCAGTTCCCTGGTTGTAGGGCTTCTGTTCAGCTAGACTTCAGGAGGTTCTGATGATGGTGGTTCTGTATTTTGGTTGTAATTTTGATGTGGTTGTGGGAGGCTGCAGGGACCACGGTTACCTATGCCCCCATCTTGTGAATCCTGACAGAACAGACTTTTATAACACTTTTTAAAAGCCTACCTTCTGTCAGCCACTTGGGACACAGAGGAACACGACACAGTCTCTGCTCTCACGTAGCTTTTGCTTTATTGTAGGAGGGTAGGTGGAGAAAATGCTTAAACAAGTGTGAGAGAGAGAGAGGCAGGGGGAGAGAGGGAGCGAGAAACAGGCCTTGGCCCAAACATTTTGTACAAAGCAACAGAGTGAATATTTTGGACTCTGTGGACCTCTGGTCTCTGAACTACTCACTCTGGTGTTACAGCGAAAGCAGACATAGATGATAGATGTCTGGCTGTGTCCCAATGAAACCTTACTAATGACACTGAAATTTGAATTTCATATAATTTTCATGCGTCAAAATATTTTTTTTCCTTTTGATTTTTTTCTTTCAACTACTGAAAAGCGCAAAAACCAAGCTTGCAGGTGGTCTGGAGTTTGCCAGGCCCTGGACTAAGGAATCAGAGAAGACCTGACCTTTCAATTGAGACCAAACTGGGAAGTGGACTCAGGCCTGCCAGGCTCTGGAGGAAGGGCATTCGGGGCAGAGGCCCAGCAGACGCAAGGCCGGGAGGTGGGCATGAGCTTGGCGGGCTGGGGAAACACAGGACAGCATTGGGGTTGGAGTGTGGGGAGTGCTAGTCAATAGTTTTCCTGGAGCTGAGCTCTGAGGTGTGTACATAAGGAGGACTAAACGACATGCAGATTGATGTTTTCGATGTACACAAAATCCCCTCTGCCCGAGGCAGAGTGACGGGCTCTAGAAACCTAGATCTCACACCCTGAGGCCTCGAGAGAGCCAGCTACCTCCACACTCACCCTCATTGCCACATTTTAATCAGAGACAGACCGTTCTTCTAAAATTCCTGTAGGATGTTTTATTATTAAACTAAAGTCAATGAAAATGAATTCTACCTATACTTTAAACTTTTTATTTTTCATGAAGTTCCTTGAGGTAACTGGAAATATTTTGGGTGTTAAAATATCCCCAGCTTCCGGATCACTGGTCTGCGGAAATGTGGCTCTTGCATAATAATTAAAAATGAATAGTTCAGTGTAGTCCTTGGTGAACTTAGTGGTTTTCCCTCCCAAGTTCTCTAGCCCCTTGGAGCCACCCTTCTCATCACCAAGTCAAATGGTCCAGAGTCTCCATTTGGGGGATCCCATGCTCACCCCGAAGCGCTAATTCCTGGGTGGGGGTCACCCTGTTGTCCATGTGACTCAGCCCACGCAGTGGTGACATCACGTCATTGCCCACGGCTTCCCGCACCAGCTCCCTGTGACTGACTCACTGCACCCTGTGAGTCCTTTTCCCCTCCAAAGCCAACGACGATGCAGTGTGGTCATTTATAGAAGTCATTTACTGGGAGGTTGGTGCAATGACGGCCAATCCTAGCTCAGGGAAACTTAAAGTTAGATCCTGGACATAACTGCTCTTTAAAATTTTGAAAGAAATTTTCAATTACTGTTGACATACAATATTATATTAGTTTCAGGAGTATAGCATAGTGATTATACATTTATATAATTGGTGAAGTGATCCCTCCAATAAGTCTAGTACCCATCTGACACCATACATAGCAATTACAATATTATTGACTATATTCCCTGTGCTGTACTTTACATCCCATGACTATTTTGTAACTTCCAACTTGTACTTCTTACTCCCTTCACCTTTTTCTCCATCCCCCAACCATCAATTTCTTCTCTGTATCTATGAATTTGTTTCTGTTTTGTTTGTTCATTTATTTTGTTTTTTAGATTCCACATGTAAGTGAAATCATACGGTATTTGTCTTTGTCTGATTTATTTCACTTAGCATAATGCCCTCTGGGTCCATCCATGTTGTTACAAATGTCAAGATTTCATTCCTTTTTATGGCTGAATAATATTCCATCATGTAACTGTACCACCACTTTTTTATCCATTCGTCTACTGATGGACACTTAGGTTGCTCCCATATCTTAGCTGTAGTAAATAATGCTGGGGTGCAGGTATCTTTTCAAATTAGTGTTTTCATTTCCTTCAGATAAATACCAGAAGTGGGATTGTGGGTCATAAAGTAGCTCTATTTTTATTTTTTTTGAGGACCCTCCATACTGTTTTCCACAGTGGTTGCACCAGTCGCATTCCCACCAACTGTGCACAAGGATTCTCTTTTCTTCACATGTTGGTTCTTCAAGTTCCATTGACATCCACTGATGGGGAATTAATTTTTTTAAATTTATCTTTATTGTTGAAAGTATTACATATGTCCCCTTCCCCCCCCCCATTGATCCCCTCCACCCTGTACACCTCCCCCCTGGTCTTCACCACACTTGTCCGTGTCCATGCGTTATGCATGTATGTGTATAAATTCTTAGGTTAATCTCTCCCCACCCACCCCCACTTTCCCTCTGAGATTTGTCAGTCTGTTCCATGCTTCTTTGTCTCTGGATCTATTTTGTTCATCAGTTTATTTTGTTCATTAGATTCCACATATG